ATACTGTTAATGTAAGCATTTTTATACAATTAATGAATTAGGAAATCATTATTTATTTGTTAAATGTTAAATCGAAATTTAGAAGAGGATGAAATTTTAGAAAATTAATAAGAAATAAATTCTTTTTTTTTGGATAATGAAAATTAATTTATCATTTCATCTATAATTTCAAAACTACCAGAATCTTGTTTTTACAATTTGATGATAAATTTCAATTTATTTAATGGATAATATCTTTAGAATAATTTAAAAAAATAAGATTATTAATTTACCTAAAAGATTCTTGATAGAACATAAATAAAATAAAAATTCATCTTTATTTTGTAAAAAATGCATAATGAAATTAAATTCTAAATTTTTTATAAATTATGATTTTGATCTTTTAATATATTATTTTTGTTTGTATTTTTGCAGAGTATTAAACATTAAATCCTAATGCTTTTAGAAATTTATCAGAAAAAAGAAGATTTTAGTACTTTTCTTTAGAAGATCTAATCTATTATAAAGATCATGATGATGATAAAAAATAGCCTACTTAATCTAATTAAAATAGAGAAGAATTAAAAAGAGTATTAAGAGAAAAACTTGATGAAAATGATTGCGAAGGATATTCTAAATAGTATGATATTTTATAATCATTAAAAATTTTAAGCTCCTTAATTAAATTATGATAAAAAAGTTATGTAATAATAAAAAGAATATTGGAAAGTAGAAAAAGTTATTTTTCCATAAATTTTAGATTATATCAGAACTCCTATATCAATTTTCAGTTAATTAATTGAAATGAACTAAAATATATCATAAGAATTTGACTCTTATCTAAAAATACAACATCCTAAATATGGAAAACAAGATCATTGAAAATATGAATAATAATTTGAAAATGATATTTAAATATACTCATTCATATTGATAATTCCATAAATGATTAACACTTTTAGAACAACTTAATAATCTAAATTTTTCTTGTATAATGAAAGTCCATATCTTTTAAATTGATTTATTAACAAAAGTAAAACTTAATTATATCAAAAATTTTCAGAACCTTACTTAAATAAATAATGATTTGAGATTTTATGTCTATAATGATACTTTCCAATTTTTCAAAGTGTCAAAAAGTAAATGAAATTGTTTCAAGTAATTTAAATATAAATTAGAAAAATAATCTTAATTTTAATTTATTAAGACTTTTAATTTATTAAGACTATTAATTTATTATAAAAATAAACCGATATTTAATTTTTACTTGTTATAAAATTAAAACACATATCTAATAAATTCATTAAGTAATATAAAATGTAAATATTTTAAAAGAATCTAATAAAAACATTATGGATGAGATCTTAAATGAAATTCAAACATTAATTAAAAAAAGAATTAATCCTAATTTTTCTTAACCCTTATAAGTTTTTAAATTTAAATTGGCATGTGAAGAAATTAATAAGTTTTGATAAATTAGAAATTAAAAATAAATTTTAAGATTAAATCCACGAATTAGCTAAAACAATAAAAATAGGAAATTAAATGATAAATAGCTTAAATAATTAGTGAGTAAAAATTTACAAGAAAACAAATCATAAATAATAACTTTTTCAGATACCATAACCATCAATTAGATTTACATTTGAGACAAATGATTAATTATTAATTTTAACCTAAGAATTCGAAAAAAAAGAATTGAATTATATTAGTAATTGTCTTAAAATGATGAGATATTAATAGTTGAAAATATATGGTAACATTTCTCCCTGCCGCGAAGAAGATCCGAGTTCAAGTCTTCGGGGTGGTATTTTTTTATATCAAGTAATTAATTAACTTATAATTGTAATCAACCAATTATATTAAGCTCTTTTATTTAAAATTGACTATGAAAACTATAACAGTTTTAATCAATAAAGACAAAAATTGTTTGTCTGATTCCTAAATCTTAAAAAGTAAATTTTTTAGTTGGCTCTTAAGATTACATTATCTTATGTGTCTATTTTTATTTATGAATCAAAGTATTTGCATCTTGCATGAATTATATTAAAAGTCAAATTCTCTTTATAATAATTAGAATTAAAATGAAATTTAGTGTAAGGCGAGACAGATGTACCATAAAAAAACTTTAAATTTAAAGTAAGTCCTTGCAACGAAAAATTAATTGAAGGCTTTTATATAAGTAATAAAATACTTATTCTATTTCTGTTTATAATAATTGCGATTTGATGATTTTTTTTTGAACATAAAGAATAAAAGGTTTATAATTCTTTAAGCTGTCAAGAGTTAAGATGATGTCTGAATAATACATCTCATATTTTATTTATTAAAAAAACTCTTTTTTCTCTATAAGATAAAAAGCATTGCCTTTAGAAATTTTTAATGATAATGAAAGTCTGATAAGTTTGTTTAGAAATGCTACTTTAAAATTAAGTCTAGATTAAAATCTAAAATATGAAATATCTAAGATTATAAGTTAAATCTACTCTTTTAGATTATTAATTGAACTAGGATGGTAAAATTTTTGTAAGCATACTTCTGATAATGTAAATAAATCTTAATGCAAAGAATAAAGTAAATTAGAAATATATGTTTCTATTATTTTATCTAAAAATAAAAAATGATAAACAAGGAATTTCTATAATATCTTCCTGTTTTCTTGTATCTCAAAACATTTTGCCCAGATCTATTCCATTCATAGCGCTAACAAATTAAGATGATTTCATTAAAAATTTAATTAAAAGAGAGCTTGATTCAAGTTGATGATCATAAATATCATGGCAGATATTAAATGGTTGATGAATTAATGATTTAATTATTATTATATAATTATTATTATATTTAAACTTGAAGTGTACATAACCATTCAAAAATCTTATTAGCGATATTTATATCAACAATTAAGATTTATATATTATATAATTTAAATAGAGTCTCATTATTAAAATTACATAGTCTAATTTTTTGAATCTTCTACAAACGGTACTGATAGCACTTGGTTTAATTATTCAAAATAATTACACTGAATTATTGACCTATCTATGCACTTATTCGAAGAAAATAAATAAATATTTTATGATAAATTTAGTTATGCATTTTCTTCATAAAAATTTTTATAATTGATTAATGTTTTATTACAGAAATCTTTCAAACTTGATAAGTTTAGCATTTTTCTCGTTGTAATGGATTTAGTAGTCCAATTAAAAGTAAAATAGGAAGAATAAAAAATAAATTTTTTAATAGTATTTAAAATAACTAATTGTATTTTTACTTTCCTTTGACGATATCTCAACTTCTCAACAAAGTTCAACACATATTTCTTTTTTCATTTTAGCTCTCAATTTTTCTAATTTTTAGGATGTTTATTTTCATAGCTCTTCAAAAGAATAATCCTGTAAATCATAAGTTTAAATTCAAAAGAAAGAAGAATTAAGTAAATAAAGCTATTAAGTTAAATTCAAACAGATTATTCTGTAGAGGGGAATTTTGGGGTTTTATAGACATCCCATAATAGATTATAGAAGTATTGAATCTCAAACTTTGGTAAGCAAAAAGAATTAACTATAAAAGTGTACTATCATTGTGGGTTAAATCAGACATTTTGATAAGATGCTTTTATAAATAAGATTAGGTTTTCAATAACCAAATAAATAATAAAATAAAAGAGAGTTATATTGATACATATTATAGTATAATATAGTACAATAGAATTTATAATATGAATAGAATATAATTGATATTAATACCACAATATTACTTAGTTTGTCATTCTGTCATTATTATTATTATTTTATATATATAATAAATACGCTTATTATCTTTAACTTGCAGCTGGCCTTTCTATTTCTATTTTCAGTATTGCAAACTTAAATTGGCTTCTAAACTTTACCACAACTTTGTTTACTTCTGAATTTTTCATTTCTGTAGATATACCTATATTTTTGGTGTTTGGTTTATTTTCTTTTCCTTATTTTTGTTACCAATAAATACTCTTTTTATTTATCCAAATTATATTTTGACTAATCATATATAATACTAACCGATACAGTATATAACATTTAAAAATACTAAATATATACACTAAAGTATCAAAATATATACCAATAATAACATAATATATAGTATTTACTAGTGCCATTATATTGTTTGAAGAACAGAAGGATATGAAACTTCTAAATTTTACTTGTGACAATTTTAGAAAAAGAAATAACAATAAAATATGATCTTAATACAATTAAATTGATAGATTAAAAATGTTGAGACTTATATAATGATATATTTGATTATTAAGTTAATAATGATTGATGAGATTAAGATGATGCAAATTTTTCTGATGTGAAAAATAAATATAAAACAATAATTTTAACAATTAATATTTTTGTAGCTATTTGTCAGTTATAGCATTAGCTTCAGAGAATATTGATACAAACTTTGTAAAATATAGAACAGGAATAAGATGCAATAAATTTCACTCAAAATCCTAATGAGTTAAACAAAAATAGTCAAAAGAAAAAGAGAAAAAATCATTAGATAGTGAGGAATTGGCAGATATTATTGAATTTTGTAGGAGAAAATTTAATTGAATTATTAGAAGCATTAAGACCAATATTTGGAGTTATTAATGTATAGATTTCTATATTAGCTTAGATTTGGTGATAAAGATATAGATGGTGATGCTTAAGAAAATGAAGATAAAATGATATTACTTAATAACAAACTACAAAGTTGGATCATCCTATTGAAGAAGTAATGTAAAAGGTTTAATGTTATAATGGGATTAATTGATGAATGTTTTTGATCCTGAAGATTTACTGAAATTTGAATTGTAATCATACCAAGTATTTTATATGAATAACTAATTATATATAAGCATCATAATTTAATAAATTCATTTGATTCAAACTAAATTGAAGATAAATATAGCATTGGACATTTGTTAGATTCAAATAAAGTGAAACTTAATCAAAACAATTAAGTTAAAATTAAAATATGAATAATGAAGATGTTATTCTAATTTTTTGAAAGTCTTAAATTCTTACTTAAGTGTTTTGAAAGATCATAACATTTTTTGTTTTTATTAATAAATTAATAACAATTAATTTCTATATTTTTGAATGTATTTCTGAAAAATCATATCAAAAAATTTAAGCAAAAGGACTTTGTGTAAAAAAATATAATTTTATCAGTTGGATAAAGTAATTTAAGAAACCAAATATGAAACTAAATTAGTATGAATCTAATTATTCAAATGAATGAATGTATCGGGCTAGCTTTAATTTTGATTGTTGTTAATCTTAAATTCCAGAAATTATTACACTTTTATTTAACCTGTAAATTTGCTTAAAGAAAAAATATAGTAGATATTTGGAAATACCTTGTTATTCTGGCATAATTTATGCCCTGAGGTATTCTTTCTAAATTATTTCTCTCATTCATAATATGAAAAAGATTATGCATGTATAACAATAAGACTTGTTATAAAGATCACTAAAGTAATCTTTTTGTTTCTATTAGTAGGATTATATGCTTATTATTATTATATACTTGATTAGGACAAAGACGGTAAATTTTCAGGAATACTATCTTGTTGAATCGAATAATTTTGCCATTTAGTTAAATTCTGGCCCTTCTGCTTGTATTGGCTACTACCTCACTTGAACTCAAGCTATCTTTAGACTTCTTTTGTAAAATGGATCTGATTAAATCCTACTCTGTATAAGAGCCGATTTAAATAAGGAATCATCAAAATCAATGATGCAATCTTTATTGGCTTTAAGAATCATTTTTTAATCTTTTTCAGTAAATGGTTGGACCTCCACCTCCAGTCTGAATGAAATGAAAAAGATACAATCAGGACATTTAAAATAATTGCAGCACTAAAAACATCACATTTCTCATCATAGAATTACTATACCAAAATCCCCTAAGATATTATCATAATTATTTTCATCAGATTTAAGAAGTAGATTTTCAGGTTTTAGATCTCTATGCGCAATATTAAATTAATGCAGATGATTCAAAGCTAATAATAGGCTTTAGGACGATCTTTGCAATGTTTCAGCTGGTAAGAAACCTAAACATTGAGATTGATGATACGTGTTTCTCTCACTCTTTATAATAATCTCTCCTGTCACAATATCGACAACAAAATAGACCGAATTGGCAGTTTCATGTATTTAATACAATTTTTAAATTTTTGGATGGTTTAATTTCCTCATCACTTTTATTTTATTTAAAAGACTTTCAATTCCTTTATTCTGTTGTTTCATGAAAGATTTGCTAAAAGCTTTGAGGCAAATTATGTGTTGTTCTCCTTTCTAATTACAAGAGAAACTTTAACAAAACTTCCCTTTCCAATTAATTTTGAAACCATATAAGCTTCATGAAAATTCTTGAGAAAACAAAATTTTCTGAGATGGATTCTCCCTTAATCATAAAAACGAGATTCGTCTTATAAAAAGATCTCTAAGGCTTTCGTTCGGTATTGGAATCGGAATCCAAATTGTTATTCAATAGAATTCAATTAAACTGAATACCAGAATCAATATAGTAAGTTATTCTTTTGAGAACCCCAGAATCAGAGGTCTTGGTTAATGAGAAGAGTAGTGAAAATTGAGGAGAAGTGCCAGGAATATGTAGAGGGATCGATAGTGAAGAGCATTCAATTCTGAAAAATAATTTGGTAAATTTAGTGTTGTGTTGGATATAGGAAAAAGAAGTAGAGATGGTTAAAAAAATAACGAGTGGAGGATAAAGATAAACAATTGGGTTAATTTTAAATAGAAAAGAGGTAGAAGAATAAAAATGGGAATGTTTGAAGCTGTACTAAGGAAATAATCATCAGAGAGATTTATGATAAGAATTGCATTATTAAGC